CAGGCATACAGACCTGACAAATACTAGTATACGCATACAGTGATAGTTTAGCATACACTAGGTAAGTATGCTGGCATACAGACCTGACAAATACTAGTATACACATATAGTGAGAGTTTAGCATACACCAGGTCGGTATGCTGGCATACAGACCTGACAGATACTAGTATACGCATAGAGTGAGAGTTTAGCATACACCAGGTCGGTATGCTGGCATACAGACCTGACAAATACTAGTATACGCATAGACTGAGAGTTTAGCATACACCAGGTCGGTATGCTGGCATACCGACCTGACAAATTGTAGTATACACATAGAGTGAGAGTTTAGCATACACCAGGTCGGTATGCAGGCATACATACCTGACAAATACAAGTAAGAGAAAAAAGACTGAATTTAGCATACTTTTCATTGAAACATCTGAAATAAAGATGGGTAAATGCTATGTTATGTATATATTGCAAGAATTGCATAAAAGTACAACAAAAATGCAGAATGAGTAATTTTTTAAGGTTTAATTGCTTCAACTATTTCCTGGGTGTTGAAATAGTTCATTCTAGCATCCAATAAATAAGACTAATGCTAAAATGATGAAGTTTTGGATTCGCATTAACAAAAAAAGACCAAAAATTTTGCCAAAAAATGACAGACAAATATAAATAATGCTATACAGTGACTTTTTAACGCGAAATATATCAATCATGCCAAAGATGTAGCTTTTTCACACAAAAATGAGTTAAGTGGCATATGAGAATTTCTAATTTTAGATGAGAACGTGTTATTACATTCAAATTTAGCGTATTAAGCAAGCCTCTTTATATTTATATAATCGAAATGACATTCACTCTATTCTGCAAGTACAACGAATATAAAACCTTTCAAAATAGTCTTAACAAAGTGGGCCTCGATCACAAGTTGACTGTACCGCTGTGTTAACTTTCTGAAAGGTCTGTTGCGAGTAGTCCAAGTCGAAACTATCTTGTTTGCATGACTAGTCTTGTCAATGTCAACGTGACGATGGTGTTTTGAAAGAGCAGAAGAAGGTGTCTACGTGGTTGTTGTATATGCCATTATATTTAAGACTATATATATGCTTGTAAGTAAGGTTTTTTTTTTCTAATTTCATATTGTGTGTAACCAACATACTAATTTTTTGGTAAATCATCTTCACCAAAAGCAGCTAAACGTACCTAACAGAACTATCGATGATTCTGTAAGTAATGGAGTAACCATCATAGTTTTTCTTTCACTCATATATATATATAAACAAGTCTAAATTGAAAACAACGTTCAAACCTATGATTGCGTTGGATAAAAACCGCAATTTGTATACCTGTGCATGCAAAACAAATTTCTTGGTAGAGGGGTCTAAATACAGCACAAACAACATTTTCAAGAAGACCAAAAAAGTGAAAAAGTATATTTTAACAAAACGCATTTGACTAGCAGGTCGAACAACAGATGTTCTTAAACCCTGCTGAATATATAAGTACGTCTGAACCAGTGACGATTCTACAACAGATTTTATCCATCGGATCACCAGCAGTGATGGTGATACAAGGCTGAAAATACATTCTGTATATATAATTCGTCTAAACAACAGCCCAACAATGTTAGATCTGTAAATTTGCGTAAGCAAATTTTTTGTTTTTCCGTGGCCGGGATTCGAACTCATGCTACTGAGATATCGTGTCACCAAATCACCTTGCACTATATATATAAATATCTCGTGATCAATTTATTTGGCAATCGTCAATGGCAGTCAGCAGGGTTTAAGAACATCAGTTGTTATACCTGTTATTCAAATGCGATTTGGAAAATGTTGTTTGTGCTGTATTTAGACCCCTCTAACAAGAAATGTGTTTTACATGCACATGTATAAAAATTGCGGTTTTTATTCAACGCAATCATAGGTTTGAACGTTGTTTTTAATTTAGACTTGTTTATATTTTTTCGTTTGGGCTTATATTATATTTTCCTTCGGGTTTATATGATCTTTTCATCCGATTTCGACTCTTTAAAATTCAAGAGTCTATCCTAAATTGAGGTACATTATATGGCTTTCCAAATACCGTTTCGATCCCTATCATCACTGAAGAGACATTAATTGTCGAAATCCGGATATGGTGTACAAATTTTTGAACCTCATGTTTGCGGTATACCATCTTCTTCGCTAATTTATTGTTTTCTGTTTGGTATTAAATTAATAATTAAGATCCATGTTACATCTGTTATTTAATTTTTTAATAACTAACCTGTTGAAATTGAAAGTTGTTGAGGACAAACCTTTATGACAAAAGCTAGTATGCCAGCTTCCCAGTTGTAAATTTTCCATTTCTATATAGCAACATTCAAGCATCGCCTGCATATTGAGTATATTACTCCCAGTTGATGCGATATTTAAGAGTTTGCATTTCCCATCAACAATTTCGTCATAGTGCACGTGAGTTGCTGTTCAAAAAGAAGCTATTACACCAAGAGTTCCAATTGGTGAAGTTTAAATCATCCCTTCAAAAGTTTTACGGACGCCTTCACGAATTGTATGACGGTTATTGAAAATCTATTTCACAGATAACAATGGATATGATCCAATTGTCGTAACCACAATCCTGTCCTCTTTTCCTCGAATGTAACCTTACGAATTAGACTAATCACGTTGCTCATTCTTTATTTTTTATGTTATTTTTTTTGTATTGTTGTGTGTCCTTTTGGTCATTTTTTTATTTATTTTTTTTTCATGACATAATAAGTTTGTTTTCGACTGATGAGTTTTAATTTTCCGTTGGTATCTTTTGCCTCTCTTTTTCAAATAATGAAAACACCAATTCACAACTTATATGAATTCGAAGGGGCACAACATTCCTCTTTAATTGTAGGTATTGTATGGTGTAAGTGTTATATAAGTTTTCACCCAAATCAAACATATCAACTTAGCAGACTTGAAAAAAAAAATAATTAAGAAATCAAACTATTTGTTTTATTATCACTTTTATTTTTCAGATGAATTAGAAGGATTGTTAAATGTTGATTGTTTATATTTGAAAGTGCACTACAGGAATTTGAAACATATTCAATTACCTTGTAACTACAAATACAAGGCCATCTGTAAACAGCCACGAGATCTAGATGTCATTAGACAGTGTCCAACTAGTAATGATATTGATATTAGTACAAGAATTTAAAAAAATAGTAAAATTGAAATCAAGTGTTGATTAAGAGGTCATCTTTTATTATCTATACAAAATTTGCAAAATGAGTAAACAGATTTAAATGTTTGTTTTTGAATATTAAAATTTCTATTGTCACTTAGCTGTGGCTTTAAATTTCCCGCATACACAGCAAATGTAAGCTTATCTTTAGCAATGATTTTTTTCTGCAAGATAGGGTAACTTCATGTGATCATGATAAACTTTTCAAACTTAATTATCCCTTAGGGATATGTTTAAAGATGGATAAAGAGTTAATGACACTAGGACAATAATTCCATGAAATATCATGTAAATCGTGAACAATACATATCTTCAGTTTCAAATTAACATTTCAATTAGTGGAATGTCTGTAAATATATATATATATGAAAATACACCACAATGTCATTAACAGTAAGAAAATATACGAACTTGTGCAATGCCAAAATATAGATACCGCATTGTAGGACTGTGAATGTACATTTTTGTATATCAACAATAATAATAAATTGGGTTTTGATTTATGAGTAACAAAATGAATATTCATACCGATAAAATCAACATTGAAAGATTTAATTACAGTGTTGAATTGGTAACATTTTAGATTAAGCTTATTTAAAGGATCAATGACTGTAATCGGGTCGTATTAATATTTACGGGCACGGTAAACAAAATCACCGTAAATAGTAGGTTGTGTTATCCCGTTTGTGAAAAATTTTCTCCAGGCACAGCCAAAATTTCCAAACAAAACCTATGAAGATATGTGGAAAAAGTTTCAGTTATTTGTGGTATCGAAATCCTTGACTCAACAATTTAACAGTAATACATATATTACGTTCAATGAAATAAAAAATTACTACAGACACTGGGATAGCGAACGAGTTGTAGTATATAAACATGGCCGTAAGATGGTGCCAAAAGAGCATCACCGTCCAGAAAAAAAAAATTAACAGTAGAGAAGGTGAAACCGTCCCTTTTTGCGTAATCTTTTGTATCGAGTTTCCCGCGTACAACTAAAATATCTTTATCTAGGAAAGGACAGTTATTGCGGTTTATAATTTTATTTGATTTATTTAAATTAAGTTTCTTTTGGTAAATTTCAGCAGTATATATAGATAATTCTTGAACAAAAATATATAATCATCAAGATGACATTAGTGCTGTTGACTTTATCAACTGATTGACCTTTTGGCGTGTCTTTACTGAATTTGATAATAAACCATAACAGTACAGGCACAATTGTGCTATTGAAGGGTATAATTGGTGCTATTAGGAACACCTACAACCTGCCGATACATTGTGTTGCAAAAAAAATCATAAGTGTTGTCAAGAAGAAAATTTACAGCTCTTATCATCTCATCACAAGGCTTTATATGAGTTACAGCAAATACATTTGCAATATATTTTTTCAAACGACCATTTGATCAAATAGTAAAAAATTAAGTTTGATAAGATCATGTAAAGGTGTGGTGTAAACAGTTAAACAGTTAAAACTGTCAAGCGAATTAAAATGCTATCACAATCAAGGTGAAATTTGAATATGCACGCACTTCTTAATTTTATCATTCCTCAAAGTATGATTTAGAATTTACTTAAACATGTGTAAATGTATTGCTCAGAAAAGATTACTACAGCAAGTAAAAAGGAGGAAATATCAACAAGAGAAAGATCTACATCAAGTACAAAAGAGGAAACCTCAGCGGAAGAAACCAAATTCACGTCAACGACGATTTTAACCTCGTCTCATGAAAGCACGGACGTAACAGTATTTTTAGCATCGACAATGTCAAACAAGTCAACAATATTTTTAGCATCATCAACGCCGAGCATGTCAACAAATAGCATATCAACGAATTTAGATTATACTAAATTTGTCAAAAGATCTTCGACAAAGGAACTTCATTTCAGCGTCACTACTACATTTAGTAAGTACATTTATAATTTTGTCTAATTATCATTGGTACATCAACGTCATGTTTCTACATTGTACATGCACATGAAGATTTTTATAGAAGTATAAATATATTATTGTAAATGAATGTTGCTTCTCTGTTTTGTATAGGCAAAACGAAAAACTCTCTCAGAATGTGTTAAAGCAATTCAGTCTATGATATATTGTCGAATTCACAAATTGAAGAACTGCTTAAATGTCCGACCTAAGTACGTATTCAGAGACCAACAAGCTCTGAAATTATTGTGCTCTCTTTTCAACAAATATGGTGTTGTTACTGCGTAAACAGCTTCAAACAGTATTGTTTTTGTCTTTGAGTCCTATTATAAAAAGTGTCTTATCTGTTATATACCGACATGGAGTTATTTCCTTTCAGATCGACAGGTTATTTTTTTGAGGAAACAACCTGGACGATACCAAGGTTCAATGAAATGTGCTTCAAGGCATAAAATAATGACACGTGTCAGGTCATTATTTTCCTAGATTAAAATGCAAAACAACAGATTTCTAAAACATTTAATCCGTGTGATGTTGTCAATTTGGTTTTATTGTACAATTTTCTATCTTTAACACCTTTGAAAACATTTAGGCAGAAATATTTCTTTCCTCCGTGCATTAGGCTAAAACAAATACCATTTACTCTATTAACTGACAATATGTTACTATTTCTACAGGAGAACAGCCACGTTCTTCAAAAGAGGGCCTATAATATTTCATCCTGATTCTCAATTTTTGATGAAAAAAAATGTTATGGGGGAATAAAGAGAGAAACAATTATTCTGAAAAAATCGTTAAAATTGATGAAAAAATCATCTGCTTTTCCGCGATAAAAATGCCATGAAACAAGTTAACAAAACACAACACCCCTTTTATATAGATTATATCTATGATAAAATACTTACAAAGTGACTCGTATTTTTTGTACATCTTTTAAACAATTCAGTTGCTTCTTACTTCATGCAATTACTATATATACCATCTTTAACTGGGCAGTGATTTCTAACGTTTATAAATATTTAATAAGTAGGTTTCATTTCACATTAATAATGAGCCGTAAGCGTTGTTATACCTTAACGTTTAAGAAAAGAATATCCCACTTCAAAGTGATCGGTAAAATATGATACAATATTTTTTGACGGTATATAAGTCAGATAATGCATATTTTAAGGTGTTTCTTGTTGTAAAACATACATCGTGGTGTCAGGATTGTCCAAAAACAGACCTCCCTACTGTCGGTCTTTCACTTGACAAATCCTGACACCCCTCGGTGTGTTATACAACAAGAAACCTCTTGAAATATACATTATTTATAACAGAATTTGAAATAAGTGAACGTTGTGTAATTCTACGTACGAACACGTAACTTTTGATGAAAATAAGATCTTGGCAAACCATAAGTCCTTCATGACCTCGTTGAATACTTTAATGAGCAACAAATCTGACAACTTACCTTGGTTGTATGTATTACACTTTAAACGTTAATTTCACACAACGCCTTACAAAAAACGGCACATCGCCGGCTCATCTGTTTGTTCCTTAAAGAAATCGTCCGTAAGTTTAACCCAAATTTTGTCCGCAATAGAAGAGGTTTTACAGAAACACTGTCATACTGGGGTCAGTGAGAAAACTAACGAACGCTTTACGAGAACGTTACGGAGATGCTAAGGACGTTACTCTTAACAACTTAACGTCTATCTTAGTATACACATACGACGGCGATTTAAGATAGCACTCTTATCGACTTTTCCGAAGTGACTTTTGATTTTTGAAGAGACCATTAGAATTCGTGGCAAAATCGGTAGTTAAAGTCATCTGTGCGTTTTATAGAATGCTCGAAAAACATACTTAAATTATTAAAAACGTGATTTGTATAGTTAATTTTCATGTTGTACTGTTACACCACTATCCAAGGTTAGGAGAGGGTTGGCGCCTTCAAACATGTTTAACCCCAGCAAATTCTATATTCGCCTGTCCCAAGCCTGTAATTGAGTGGTTTTCGTTTGCTCATATCGTTGTCGTTGGTTCATGTCTGTCATATGTGTTTATTCGTAAATTGCTTTGTTATTAACTAGGCGGTTAGTTTTCTCATTTGAATTGTTTCATATTTTTCATGTCGGGGTCTTTTATATCCTACAAAACGGTATGGTTTTTTCTCAGTGTTGAAGGTCGTACGGATGCCTATAGTTTCTTATATTCACTTCATTTGAACTGTGGTGAATAGTTGTCTCATTGGCAATCATACCATGTCTCCTTATGTTTATAGCAAAGAAATATTTTTACAATTAAATAAAAACAAAAATGGCAGAAGGAGGTGCTCCAAACGGTTTGAAGAAAACAGGAGAACTATTATGAATTTTCCTTTTTTGAATATATTGAACGGTGGTGTTCCTTTTGGCATCGTCTTGCAGTGTTTATATATCTCAACTCGTTTGCTATGCCCGTGTCTGTAGGGACGTTTTTTGGATTTCAATGAACGTGATCTATGTTTATCTGGTAAATTATTATGTCAGGGATTTCGTTACCACAAATTACATAAAACCTTTACTAAATTCTTCCATAGATACAAAGATTTGATTTGCAAGTTTGGCTGTAACTTATTTCAAACGGAATAGCAAATCCTAAATGTTACGATGATGTTGTTTACTGAGCATGGAAATTCAGATACGATCCTGATAAACTTATCAATCCTTTAAAAACACTTCTTCTAAAAGGTTACCAATTCAACTCTGTAATTAAATCTTTGAATATTGTTTTTATTGGTATAGATATTGATTTTGTTATCAGTAAATTAAACCATAATAAATATGAATTATTATACACATATGCACTTTCACGGTACTACAATCTGTCGATATATATATTTGGCATTGTACAAGGTCATGTATTTCTCTGGCTGTTATTGACGACTTTACATTAAATCCATTGAATGTTGAATGTGTACAGATTAACATTTAAGTCTTAGATACATGATTTTTTTACTAGTTGTTATTGGCTTTGAACTAGCTGTCAGACACTGCGAGTACTCTCAGATTTGCACTTTGTGTCTTGTGTGTTGTTGGGGATGTATAAATACCCTGCCACGTCCAGTTTGTTATTTTTGTTAGATGTTTTTCTGCTCTATATCTATCTGATGAGTTATGCTCTTTTCAACTGATGTTTATGGTTTTCTTTTGATGTGCTGTAACTCCACTGTCCAAGGTTAGGGAAGGGTTGAGCGCTTACAAACATGTTTTTATCACTGCCACATTTTGTATGTGTCTGTCCAAAGTCAAGAGCATGTTGTTCAGTTGTTGTTATTGTTGGTTCATGTCTATCATATTTATTTTTCGTAAATTATTTTGTTATAAATTATGCCGTTGGTTTTCTCAACTGAATTGTTCATATTTTTCATGTCGGGGCCTTCTATAGCCGACATACAGTCTCATTAGCGATCATATCACATCTCCTTATTTTTATAAGAAAAACCAACCTTTACAACAATGAATTGGAAACAAATTGAATGCTGACAGCTATTGATCAGAAAAAAATGTTGTTACTCTGAACATATTCCGATTCTGTAATCACGGACAACCCTACGATCGTCTAGGAAATCTTATAGATTTGTTTGATCTCTGAACTTCTTTTTGGATTTCCTATGTTGTTCTCCTGAAAGCACATGCAAGATTATTGCAAGTGCCATTTTATCGACTAAGAGAGAAATAGTGGTGCCCTGACCTCTCTTTTTTCAGTTAAAAAAAAAAAACTGATACACTTAGAATTTGCTAAGAGTAATCAAAGACGTTCTTAAGTTGATTAACGACGTTTGAGATACAAGTCGATAACATTAAAACTACGAGAGCGTTCTGAGAAGGATAAACGAGTACTCGTAGGGTTGCGACTGCTACATGAATTTTAAGGGCTGTCAATCATTCTAAGATTGCTTCAAGATACGCTCTTAGCAGATAAGATGATTTTAAGCACCAAATTTTCTTCACGATACCGCGGCCCCTGTTTTCTGTCCTAGTGGCATAAACCATATGTTAATTCTTAAGAACTCAAATGAACTTCAGAAACATTTTAAATCTCTGTCTTTCTCTGAAATAAATTTAATCAAAACCTTAGGTTTTTCTTCCCTTACACCACCATTACACATGAAAAATTGAAAAACCCGTCTTGGAGAAATAATTCACAATACTTTCTTCCGTAAAAAGGGTACCATTCGCTAAATACTCATTGATTAAGATACACTTCGGCATATTTTGTTGAAAATGAGCCCAAAAATAAAACATGATACACCAATGAACACGTAATCAGTATGCTTGACTTTCTGATTAACAACATTTTTGTTTCGGAGGTAGAATTTTCTGGCAAACTGTCAGCATTCGTACAGGAACCAGCTGTGCGCCTCTCCTGGACGATCTTTTCTTTTCACATCGAATTAGACTATGGTGGTCATTTCAGTACCAGAATCTACTACAAACGATTTCAATTTTGAAATTGTAAAATTTTCCTCACTTTTGCAGCAATACAACTTCACGGGCGTACGGAATATACATTTCTTAACTCATATGATATTCAAGAGCTTGTAGCTGCTACTCAGAATTTGTAAAACGTTATCGGTGTCTGAGCAAAATATTAAAGTGCCACTATTTTTTCAAAGAACGTCTTGCCCTTTTCTTGAAATGTTAATCGGAAAGTAGCACAACCTAATACCATTAGATAAATGTTCAAAAATTAAAAAAATATGAGATAAGGTTTTAATGGCTGACGTTGTATGTTTTTCTTTCTGTCCTTTATTAGAATGCTGCATGGCTAGAAAATTAACAGTTTTTATGTATAATTGAACGGCATTGCTCATGAATTGTTTATATGAGATGACTGACGTTTAATTAGGTAAAATCAGTCTGAAAAACGGACATGTATGGATTATTTGATAGCAGTTTTGTTAAGTAGGATCTTTTTAATTATGCTAACAGGGAGATATTATATTTTCTAGTCTGTGCATGCGTCCCGTGGCAAATTGAATTTTTTTCAAATCATATACATTGTTCCAAATTAGGGTTTGACCCGGATTTTGTTGTTCAATGAACATTTTACGAAAGGGGTACGACGTTTTATGAACTTTTTTTTTTTTTTTTTTTGATATGTTTTGAATATACATGTATTTGTACCTAGAATATCATAAACGCCTAGCTGTTGTGGTAGCGTGCTCTCCTTTAGTTTAGGAGGTCGATGGTTCGATACCTGAACAGATCAAATCAAAGGTTTACTGCCTCTTCGCAAACAACGCGACATTTAGAAGGAAGAGAAAAGATTTGTCGGTCCGGAGTGAAGACAATGTGGGCGGATAGGGTTACATGTCTCCCTGCGTATTGTTTACTTTTAAATCCGGCTTAGCAGGTCGATGTAGGACAAAAATAGGGTTCATATTTATTTGTCAAGAGCATGTTCCCGTCTGAATATGCATTAACTTACAACTGGAAGTTATATAGTCATGCATCCCTCCATCATCAATATTTATTACTAGTATCCACTTTCTAACAAATTATCGGTTATATTTTGCTATCTAGTGATGAATTATATATATATATGTATACTTTGTATGCAAAGTACATGAAATGAACAGTCATGGTCTATTCATTGTATTATACCCTGTCGATACTTATATTTTGACGCTGCACTGCATTGGCAAAAGATGCGTGCTGTTTTGATTGTGTTGCGCATAGAAATTCTATTATCTAGTTTTTTATTTATGTTTCTTGCTTATCCCACATGTATTTCAATGATTTATGCAGTATAAACAAATACGGTAACCTCTATAGATGGTCCATCCATAAAATAGTTAACTACTATAAGTTAATAAACTTCAAGGGATATAATAGATTTTTCGTGAAAATATCTTTGTTTTTGGATTTGTGTGGCATTTCAAACCGTCATTCCCGTTAAACAAAACGTCACAGAACAATTTTTTATACAGCACGCCTTCTAAATTACAATTGCTAGATCTACAGAGAATTGTGTATCTATTACTTTCAACATAAATGGAAAATTCTTTGTTTAATTGGCTTTCAATAAAAGAAAATAGCATTCGTTCTCTAAGTAACATTACTTTGTTGCGTACTCACACTAGTTTTAACTCAGATGATATTGGTCTCTTTGGTACTGTTAAATATCTTGATTCTCCTCCTTTGGTATCTTCATGTTTATTTTTCAATAAATACTATGACATAAATATTGGTACAATTTATAAAAAAAAAATACATATGCAACGTTGTCGTTTTATCAGTCAGGGTCGTTACTTAAACAAGTAAATATTCTTAGTCACTTGCATAAGTAATACTTGTTTTTGAAAATTATTAAATTACCCAATAGAGTTATTTTTTATTTCAATAGAAGCACGGATTAAATGTAGTTTTCATGAATTTTTACATCATTTTATTAAATAAAATTAACATTCTATCAAATTTTAGATGAGTATAGAGATAAAAGTGTACTTTAAAAATAATGACAAAATATTGCTTGAATAATTAATTTTATAAATCTTTGAAAGAATTAGTAATACAATTATTCAAGGAACAAATGTAATTGTTTTGGGTTACAAATTATAAATAAATGTAAGTCTTATTTGAATTACAAGTTTCTATCTATTTATAGCTGTCTACCTTCAAGATTATGAAGGAAAATGATATTCTAATAGTCCCATGAGACCAATCTTTGACCAAAAAGCGTCAATATGAAAGATAAGTGTGTCGAAAAGGCAATCAGTGTTTCAGGAGGATTCATTTTTATATTTCATGGGTGATGAAAAATTGTTAAAGCTAGTAAAATCTGTATTAATGGACACCTATAAAAACTATATTTAGAAAAGTTAATCAAATACGTAATATCTAATAAAGCCTCGTTTTCATCATTACTTGTATATGTAATTTTAAAAGTTACTTGTTTAAGTAATGCCCTTGACTGTTAATTGAGAGCTTACATAACACTCAGATTAATTGGTCATCCTTTGAATCCTTAATGGTTGCATCCGGTTTTATGGGTTTTTTTTCGAGTTTTTTTTTTCACACTGGACTTGATCGTTCGGGTATCTGCTTAAAAAGGAATACTAATACGGAGATTTTTTTAATACTCGTATTTTTGTTTGTTGTGTGAATTTTTTTCTGATATTCATTTAGCATGTTAAGTTTCAAGAAGATTTATGTTTACCTTGACGTCGAGCTATACTGCTTTAAAACTTGCAGAGAAGAAGTACAAGGTGTGCATCTATGTTGAAATATGTACAATAGTCTATTTTGGAGACGACAAATACCAAAGATTGATTGCACTGGCCGTGGTATTGTTGTTCCCTACTTTTAAGAACAATAGTGCATATTAGAATGTAAGAAAGCTTGATATATTTTTTAGGAGACTATGTTTGTACTTGAACTTGCTTTTGAAAAGGAGATGAGAACTTTCTGTGCTACGGTATTGTTAAATATTGTTTTGAATTGCAGTTCTCCACTAAAATATCACAATTTTTTCAAGCGTCTCTTACTGCCACTTGTATGAATACATACAGTTTTACTATTGAGTCTTTTGTAAAATACAGACATGAAGCATATTGTTATATATCAATGATCAGTCTTCCAATGTATTAAATATTTACCCAGCAACACTTAGGGGCGCTTAATTATATCACGTGAACCTGTGGTTTATAGAAAATGTTGAATACCAACCTATGGTTGTTGGCATTACATTAGTTATATCGAACATCCTTTACTGCTTCAGGAAAATCTGTCAGGTTCAGGGCAAAGACTAATTATCATAACAAGTATAAATTTAAACTGTTGCTCATTAATGTTACTCACACCATATGTATAAAGTAAACATGAAGTTGATGAGCGATTATTTAAAAAGGCAGTACAAGGTATAGCTGTATATGTTTTTTATCGTAGGTATAGCGGTTCTAGTGATTCTTGTAGTATTTGTTTTAGTATGTCTCCAAGTATCACTGTAAGTATTATTCATTTCCTTATTTTTGCATTTTTCCAATGGTTTAGACATTGTTTGATAAACCCAATTGTCGATATTCCTGATTAACTTAACAATAGAATTCACTATACATCATTTTGTTTGAAAAATATAAATTAAACTAAACAAACAATATACGAAAGAGCAAAAGCGGTTTGCAATGAAATTTTTACTGGTGCACTTTATTTCCCCATTTCTCAAATTATGATGTTTTACGTCTTATTTGATTTACCTGCATTATTTTCGTCTATGTGTTGGTCACTAGCATTCACAAAACAACCAAAAAGGTCAGCACGTATTTTGCAACTTACTGATATATCTCCTGACAATTAGTAATTTAAAATATGACATAACCACTATAATGAAACTGATGAAACCTTATAATAGAACAAGGACGAGGCATGTAATTTACGAAAGTCAGCTAGAAATTTGAACAACTAAAATAGACAGTGATCGAACTTCAAATACAAGCCATACATTAAAAAATGAACACTTGAGTTACTTCATTAAAACATGTAAAATAATCTAGCATCTTTAAAATTGATAATAACTGGATTTAAAAAACAAATATATGACGACAACATGTACATATCTAAATAGGATAGCCCAGTGTTCCTAAGGGTGGCTGATAATTATTATGTTTATCGTGTATGATCTGTTTTGAAATATTCGTCTTAATTTATATGTTTTGTTCAACAAATGGTTCGATGGGAGTGTGAAACACGAACAATGAGTCAATTAACCATTCGATATTCAACAAGCTATTTGCGGTTGGCTCATGTTTCACTACCATGAAAAATGGATCGATCAATCTTAACTCATGTTAATGTTAGTAGTTGTACGATTCTATCTGGAAGTTCAAGTGCATGTAAATAAGATAGGGTCAATTACCACTGGATCTATTTCACACAAGGACCATATTCAGAGAGTCTTTCAATCTTTATTCAAATTTACAGAACGAAGGCTTTATGAATACACTTTGATATTCTAATAACTTTATGGCGTGCGAATTTTTGAATATGTAATTAATTTCTGCATTTGTCTCAAAACTGCAAATATGGAAGATTTTTGTCAATTTTGAGTTATTATCGCTTCATGAAAAGGGACATGTTTGACCAAATCCAATGTGTATTCGACGATTATGTGTACAGCTATATTTTGTATCTTAGATACAAATGCACTCATGTCAGTTTCTGGTGTCCGTCAATGCAAAATGTTTTCCAAACTTGCGAAATTTGTACCAAAACTTTGTCCAACAATAATGAAGTGTAAATCTATATCTTGTTTAGATGAATGTTTGTAATGTTAGAAAGTCGAAAATGTATTTTATTTAAAATCTTTTTTTAAATTCAAACTCCAGTTGGATTTAACATCGGTCGAATGTTGACCCTGGGAGTAAAAGTAATTTTGGAGAATATGTCCTACTTCAATCCAGGATGGTATCAATGTGCACAGCGTATGTTTATTTTTTAGTGAAACTTGCTTAATTGTTCTAATCATCCAATAAATCATCAAAACTAATTTCGTTTTTTATCTTAGGATTGGCATACTCCGTCGTCATTGGAGAGCACCACAAGAAGGAAACCAATATGAGCTGACTTTACAGTTAACGACTGAACCTAGAATGTATGCACAACCAGAAATACAGCATTACGAGGATGTTGATGACATCCCTTCCTAATTGAACATTTAAAACGCGTCGGTGCACTAGATTATAAGATTCGTATATCGTATTAAAAGACAATCGTATTGAGTGAAAAAGCTTATATAAATAGTACGACGATATCCTTCTATGTGCCACAACTTATGTTTATCTTATCTTGTCTTCCGATCTTACTAAAAACCTGTAAGCTATATGTATAATTTCTGATAATTTTAAATCTTTAATTAAACTTACATGTATTGTGTTACTTATTGACATAAAAGTTTCCTAATAATATTTGTAGTTTTTTTCATGTGTTTCTCCAAAATGACCAGGGCTGTTCGCGATGCATTTTAGTGGAATTTTTTTTATTTAGAACTGAATAATCCTCGTATAACGTTCGTCGTAAAGATTTAATACATAGATATACCGGGCGTTATTCCGTCCTAATAAGCACTCTCACTTTTTCAAATCTTGCCAAATATTTATGAAATTTCCATCAAAGGTTTATATCAGCAAGTTCTTGAACAAGTTTTAAAACCAATGCATGTCGATCAACACTGTTTAAAAGAATTATACCCCTTCGAAATATATTTATATTGAAAATTGCATTGTAAGCGCTTCCACTTGTAAAATACTTGCCAAATATTTTTGAAATTTACACCAAAGGCTTAAATCAGGAAAACCTTGAACAATTTTGAAAAACAATGCTGATTAACTATTTTTTTAAAGAATTATGCCCCTTGGAACAATGACGTATATATAACATTGCATTGTAAGCGCTCTCATGCCTACATTCGATGTAGGATTGTTTTGAAATCATATCGAAGGTTTATATCAGTCATGTCTTGGACAATTAAACTATCAGCACTGGTGAATTGTTTTTACAGCTGAAGTTATGTCCCATAGAATGTGAACTCATTGAACATTGCACTGTTAGCACTTTCACCTATATATCTCTAGTCGGATTTTTTAAAGTTTATATCAAAAGCTTATATCAGTAAGATCTTGGAAGAGTGTCGACCAATTATTTTACCAAGTAAATAGTAATATATAGAAAAAGATATTGTTAGCTATAATATCATGTGTACATTTCTTGTAAAATAATAGTTAGAAATTAAAAGAAAACATATTTGATTTCAGTTATTGCCCTTTCCTCGTGTTCCTTTCCTTGTACAATGGTATAACAATAAAACAAAAACAAAAACAAACTATAAGAATCAGTTGAAAAGGAATGTATTCGTCATATAGATACAAAGCTAACACAGTTCTACAAAACCACAAAAGACACAAAATACAGAGTTGAGAGTGCTCACATTTATTGAAAGGTAGTTTAAAGCCGATAACAAACAATAAAAAATCATGTGTCTTAGCCTAAAATGTCTAATAGTACACATCCATCCTGCAATGGATTTAGTGTAACGACGTCATGAACAGTCAGAAAAACAATACCTTGTGCAATGGCCAAATATAGGTATCCAGAATGTATGAACATATGTGTATAACAATATTATTTATGTTGGTTTTAATCTGCTGATAATTAAAAACCAATATCTATACTGATAAATCAATATTCAAAGATGTAATTACAGTGTTGAATTGGTAACCTCTTAGATTAGATTTGTTTAAAGGATCGATAAATTTATCCGGATTGTATCTAAATGTTCGTGCCTGGTTAACAACATCACCGTAAAAATTAAGATGTGCTTCCCGTTGGTAATATTTTTTAGGTACAGCTAAATTTCCATACAAAAATATGTTATATATGAAAGCATTTAGTCAGGGTTTCAGGTAATTTGAGGTAACGAAATCCTTGACTTATTAGTTTACCAGAAGTACATATATCATTGAAATCCGAAACATCACCACAGACACGGGCATAGCGAATGCGTTTGAATATATAAACACCGTAAGGTGGTGCCAAAGTAACATCCCCACCCGAAAAAGGAAAATTAACAATACGGAACAGGACATCGTCCGTTTTGTCACAAATCTTTTCATGGAGTTTCCCGATAAGAGCTGAAATATCTTAATCTAGGAAAGGACAATTATAACCGTTTATATTTGATAAATTTTAAACAGTTCCTATCGGCAAACTTCGTTAGTAGAGAATGTTTACTTATTCAATTGAATGTAAAATATCATCAAGATAAGATACACCTACGATTAGGATTACGTTAAAACTTACAGGTAGCATTTAAATCTTGGATCGTCTCAAAGAATAAATATAAACCGTCCATAAAAAAAAAACAAAGGCCAACTTCTGTGATGTTTTTCTATAGTTGATCATGAACAACTGCGTTTCTATTCTACATATTGTCTACCAGGCTGGACAAAAAAACGAAAAAACAAAAAACAACATCGTTATCAATGAACATTTTCATGTCAAATGATTTAAAATATTCGTATCCCTGTTGAAATATAACAATAGGTGTACTCAAATTGTTAGAATTTTACTATCATTCTATGCTTTTTACATATTAAAAAATGAAAACCGTGCTCTAAGTTGTTTTTGTGCATTTTTGTAAAGATCGTGGAAAACATTTAAGTATAAACGTTTTCTTTAACGGTGCCGATTATTCACTCCCATGAACGTGCCGTTTGAGTCTGGTATGCTCGAAACATGAGCAGTGACTCTGTATCCGAGACTTTAAATTGTACGTTAGAGTGCACTCATGACTGACAAAGTTTATCGGCAAAATTTTTCCATTCCAAGGAAATAAATGGTGAAAATGTATGTCAGGCGAAAAGAAATTGTTTAACAAATCATACACTATTTAAGTCGGTAATTGAGCAGTTGCAAAACAAGGCAAAAGTGTAATCGTGTAAAAGAACGACACTCGATATTAATATTTCGAAAGCACTGGGCTGCGGTGGGTTTAATCAATTCATCTTGTAGCTTGCTTGTCGCATTTCCCGTGGTTTTCAAGTGTACCGTTTGTGGAGTATCCTCTTAACGAATTTTTTTATGATTTTGCTATACTGAAAAAGGTAACACATGTATTTCAATAAATACATAACCTGACAAGAAGACTTAGTACTATGTTTCTCGAGGAAAGCACATGGTTCTCTGCTGTTTATGATGGCCCGTGGGAGAGGAAATGTATCCGATATACCCAGTATTGACACCTTATACAAGGTAACATATTGTTCGCAAAACACCGTAATTATATATAGAGAAAGCGTAGAAAATCAAATAACACAAATTACACACTATAGAGTAGTGGTTGAACTCTACATAGGGGAATGATAAAGATATGTCAGCAAATCAGTTTTGAAACACAAAACATTTGGGTCGCAAACGCAAAGTCGAAAATGCGAAAACGTGAAAGGGTTTCTCATTTTGTTCTTCGAGTTTTCGATTTTGCGTTTTTGCGTTGTCAATTATTTCCTTCTTCTCTCAATCATTTCGATCTTTTATCTGATTGGATAAAGATTAACAAATTGAAGATACCCTGACTGAATAGTATTATTTTCTTGATAGTATTATATTCAAGTACCATTAATTTTTACAAAGAGTACTTATGTTTATATTAATAGTATATTTGTTTAAAGAGCGTCACTCATTGGATTAAACTAATTTTCCATAGGGCACTCTACACAGTGATACAGTATAACTACAGGAAAACATACCTTCTCTTTTATGTATTTCACTTTGATATCTTTTATAATCATTAGATATTAGTATGTGAATTCAGGAAATAGGTCTACCTAAATGAGAAAGCACAAAAACGACACAAAACAAAATTAGATGTTAGTATACTGGCTTCAAAAGTACTAGACTTATTTCTCTATAATATTTTAAGCTCTAAACTGCCCCTTGTATAAGGGAATCTGCCATCAACACCATTGTTTCTAACGGCAAAAGATTACTAAGGTTCTTGACTCGGCATACATATGAACCTAAGATATTGTGAATATAAGTTCACATCAAATGATTTTTAGAATATGTTCCTCGTACGAAATGAATTCTCGAATTTAGTCCCACCTCATTTAAGAATGTAGGTTTATCTTTTCTGGTTACATTTTCTTATTGATTAAATTATGCATAATGGGGATTGTTATGTTGTTTTTGTATCAGTTATATTGAGTTTAACTCCGAAGGTTCAACTTAAACGTCAAACAAATTTGAAGTTGTAATCCTAAAATTTCAAATATTTTGTAATTAAAAACTCTAATAGTAAAGATATTTTACAGAAGTCCACTACGGACATTGTTTTGATCAACATTCTAGATTAATAACTAGAATAGCATACCACTAAAATTTCCTTCAAACAAATCGGCATATCGCTTGCTAAGTCTTTTAAAAAGCACCAACTACAGGTTTTCTTCCATAAACTCGCTATACATTCATAGGTTAACCATGTGAGAGCTACTGCAGTTTTTGTTTTCTTAATAAATAAAAATTTAGTTTTTGTATATATCTTCCTGTTCATTGTATATTCATGAAATAATTATTGTTTAAAGTAGATCAAGGAGATGAATTAGTTGTTTTCGAAAAACATGGTGTTGTTCATTTCATCTATTCGTCCTTGTAGTAAAGTTCACTAAAAGTAACAACAGTCAGCTACACACAATGTGCCGCAGTTTCATGTTCTTTTTTGGGACAACATATATTATGATATTTATTATAAAAGAAGGTCAATCGAACACCTTCTGGATTCAACTTTTATATGATACTTTATTACACGATTAGTTTCACTTTTTCCAGATCTCATATTGCTAATGTTCTGTTCTATACCGAGAAACCAATGTAACGGTAGTGTTCCCCACGGCTTTTCCTTCATGTATATTTAAAGAGTTCTGCAATCGTCATTTTTTCAATTGAAAAATTTAGCAGTCTCGAATGCAGACACTTCTTTTCAAACAGTGCAATGATAGGATATATATTTTCGTAACCATTCATCTAAGCTAGTCTTGTCTCTTCGCCAGATACAGGTAGAACGTATCTTTTAAGCAAACAACCATTCATCTTTTTGTTGGGGCTTTTTTTTTTCTCGGAACAAATATATTTTTTATTAAAAA